CCTCCATAAACTTCTTAAACCACTCGAAAACTTGCGTGCGAGATAGACACTGATCACCATATACTTCTGTCAACAAATTGTAAGTTTCAGTGGCAGATTTTCCAAGTTTTGTGAGGAATTTGATGTTAGCACGTTGTTCTGCATTAGCACTCAGCATTATTCCGACGGAGCTCAGAAACACGATCCGCTTCTAACAATGGTCGCGGCCAGACTAACCGATGCACGTGAATGAAACTTTGTGTGACGGTAGAGGGAAGTCCAAGGGTCAATGCCCTACCCTCCTCTTCGTCAATGACGTGGCCGGAAATGAGTCATAAAAGTAATCCGGGTTCTTTATTGCCACACCTTGTATAAACAGAGAATAACAAACAGAAGAACGCACACTGGTGATGACTACACGCCAACTGTCTGGAGCTGATAAGCAAAGTGCGATCTATACGTCCAGACTGGCACCACTGCAACCCGAGTCGTCCCTTTGATGCGACGGGAAAAGACCGCCAAGCGAGCGAACAGCCCATTGTGTATCATTTTCCAACGGAAGGATGATACGGGGTACCGTCCACACTGATACGATACGGGGATACGCAACAAGTCTAGACCCGGCTTTAAGCAGTGACGAAATCGTAAGTTCGGTGGGGGTGCAGCCAGAAGAGTGGGAAGAAAGTGAGAATGAGGAAGAGGTGGACAGTGCTGCTAGTAAGAAAATATCACATAGTGGTGCTCTTAATCATTTGGAATCCTTACTAGACTATCTTGAGAGCAAAGAGAACAGTTTATTAAGTGACAAGCTAATATTACGTAGGCTTCGTACGGATATCCATAAAAAGGAAAATTCCGCAAAAAAGCTAACGACAGTATTAAATTTTTTTAAGTGTTAAGTGTGAATATTCGTAAAAAGTGTTGGATGTTGTTGAACACTGTGATTGAAATAACTAATTCATACTTCAGTATAATGTAAAAAAAGTATTAAATAGGCCATGAGAGGACATAAAAATGAGGTTGAATAAATTTAAATACAAGTAGGCCTATAGTATTATGAAAGTACAGTATTACAGTACTACTTTTAATAACATTTGTCTTAATTGGGTTTTCGATTAATCGTGATTTCCATCCCCACCATTATCCCCGATAATCGAGAGTTGGGTGTATATTAAACCTTAACCACTGCTTAATTTGTCAAATCAACTGAACTGAAGATATTAACAAACAGTAGGACTTGATTATTAACAAATTTAGCTTGGTTGTAATTGGTAGGGAGATTTAACTATGTATTAACAATCGGCTCATAGATGGCGGTAAGGTTGTCAGCCTTATGCGCCGGCCACCCTTTACTCCCAAGAATATTCCTAGTACTCATTTCTATTGGAGGCTGAGTCGACCACAGGGTCATAGTGCTGCTGGAAGGATTAGGTCAATTGAAAAAAATCCAATGACCTCACTCTTGCAGTATAAGAATTAAGTCATTTTGACATAAGCAGGTTGTAGTGTGATTTAATTGAATGACAAACTGAAGAGCCTTCATGGTGTGATAGAACTTGTTGTAAATTGCTTTCTTCATTTTAAATCACATCAATTATTTATGTATAAAATAATGGTGTTTGTGGAAAAGAAGGCACTGTAATAAAAGAACCCATAATCATCTTTAGTAATAGTAGAAAGTTTTAATTGCTGACTTCACAGGCTCACATCCTTCACATAATGCTCATTTGTCATTGTGGTCCATTATGGTAATATGTTCTTTAAAGTAATTTTTAAAAGAATGGGCTCATCTTCAGATTTTTCTGCCATGAAATACCACTTCCTCAGCCTTTAATTCAAGGATGGAAGTGATGAAGTGTAATGAAATAAATTAGACTCTGTAGGTAAAACAAGGAGTGCGCAGCAGTGTGGTTGATTGAGGCACTATGCTACAAGCCAGAAGGTCGCGGGTTTGAGTTCTGATGAGGTGGATTTTTTTTCCTTCAATTTACCTAATCCTTCCATCCACACTATGACCTTGGGATCAACTCTGCCTCTAACAGAAATGAGTACCAGGAATCTTCCTGGGGGGTAAAGGGAGGCCGGCCAATAAGGCTGACAACCTTACTGCCATCTGTTTAGAAGATGTGGGAGCCTCGACATCTCTCAACCCTATGGGCCTTCACTGTCTGTTACAGGATAGGTTTACATTTACCTGTAGGTAAAACAATGTTTCATATTTGGAAAAGAATTCTGGTATGGAAGAAAAGGATGAAAAGTTGCAGAGACTTTGGACTCTTCCATTTTCAAGGTGGAGCGTGGATGTGAAGTCTTTATAAAATATGATATGTATATGATGCTTGTTATTAAATAGAAGCTTGTAATAGTTGCCCATCACACAGAAAAGGTTGGCCTTTGCTGTATCCAGTTTAATAAAACAAAGTATATGTAGATTCTATTGTACATAGTACATGTACTGTAATAAATGTGCATGAGAATAGGAAAGTCTGATCACTGTTTATGGAGAGTGTTAGATCTACCGTTATACTAATTGAATATAGAGAACTTCCACCATTTGGATTATCCAAATCAAAGTAAAATGCTTTTAAATGATACCCAGAGCAGCTAAGAAATATTTATAGCCAAATTTATATTTATTCATGTCATCAGTGGAATATTATAGTTTTTCTTTGACTATTATATGTACAAGAACATCTTTTCATCTTTATTTTTGCTTCTTTTCTTACCATACTCTGGCTCTGTAAAGCTGTTTAGTCCTTGAAACCGATTTCGTGATTCACTTAATAATGCACATTTTCAGCAGGGATACATACAGGTTTTCCCCCAAATAAGTGATAGATACGTTGGTGTGTGGCTAAAACACTGAAGGGATAAAATATTTCTTCAAGGGCATGCTCAGGTCTGTAATTACTCGTTGGAAGACATTGCTATCGCCTGATATTTTTTCCTGTTCTTGTGTAAATGGATCTTTTCTTCTATGATTATCCAGTTTTTGTATTAATTTATTTTGTAAGCTGCCCCTAATTCTGTTAATCCATCTTTTCCAACTAATGTGCTTGCTGGACAGAAGATGGGAGTATGTTTTGTATTTGTCACTTTTACAGGTATGGAAGGAAATATTGATAAAGGTTTGGTAATGGGCTCAAGAGACTGGGAGGGCACATGTAAGTAATATGGTATCACAGTAGTTGGCAGTTCTTACTTCAGTGTTATTGAGCTCTCTGTTTTGCAGGGTGTACATATAAGTTATGTGCCATTTTACAGTAATGTATATCTCTTGAACTGAAAGGCATGTGATTGAAAATTAGGTAGTTTATATGATGTTTATAATTCCTGCCACTTGAGCATTTAACCTCTGTGTCAATCAGTTGTAAAAATGACATCTAAAGCAGAAAAAATGAAGGTGTGTATTATGGTTTAATGAGCTTATGTCTGTGGTTATAGTGCAAAGGAGATTCCATACAGTGTTTGAAAGAAAATTGCCAACAAAAGCATTTATTTACAAGCTGATTGGCTGGTTGGTTTCCAATGGCTGCATTTGGGATCATTTAACCCATTTTGCTTCTTGCTTCCCAATAGAGAGCACTCAAGTTCTTGCTTTGTTGCATCTTGAAGAAGTTTGCACTTTCCTTTTGGGAAGCTTTGCCAGGTTTGTTGCTCATTTTGCACTACCCAGGGGACACGTATGACTTAAAGAATGTCACGGACGCAAGCAGCTTTGTCCCCCTTTGATTTACAAGTGTTACGAATTGTTCGATCAATCTGGTTGCATATATAAAGGAAGGAGGCTTGGGATATGACCATTCACTGAAGTTCAGATGGATGCATTTCCAACAGGCTTCATTCACAGTCCACGAAAATCAGCCAGACATGTTGCCTGATAGTTAATCTAGCCACACACAAAATTCACGGTGTTCTGTAGAAGCATCTGAAATCCAAAAGTTGTAGGTCCCAAGTTTGGAACATGTAACCACCAAAAACAAAGTTGTTTTTGTTCTTGTTCTCGTTCTCCTCCTCCCCTCCCCCTCTTTTTTTTTGGGGGGGGGCAGTGGCTTTCTTCCAAGACATTATTATTATTATTATTATTATTGGAGGGGGTGGGTTTCCCCATGCACCGCGACTAATAGTCTATCGTACGTTCCCCTTTGATATTCTACCAGTCTCCATACCCTGCCAGTACTGGTGCTCACTATCAGCCCCGTTCAGCCAGCAAGGCTGGCTGCGGTACCCGATGCTTCCCCATCTACCGGAGACATTGGAAACTACTTGGGCTGGAAACTTTTTACCTAATTTTGCTCAGAGGTCTCCTAGAGACATGAGGATCTTTTATGTGCTGTAAATCTACGACACGGGACCCACGGTTTAAAATCCCTCCTGGACGACTTGTTTCCTGAATTTTTCCACCCTTAAAAATTCCACGACCTCTGCCGGGTTTCAACCTGCGTACCTTGAGTCATGAGGTGGGAACGTTACCCCTAGACTACGGAGGCCACTCTTCCAAGACTTTAAGCTGATGAACTTCTCACAGCTGAACGTGTGATTTCAGTTACCAGGCTGTCACTGTGCAGGAACCTCTGGCCATGTAGGAGCTGCAGATATTACAGTTAATGTTGACTTCCTTAATTACATGTGGACAGAAATTGAATACCATATTTGTTGCTCTACTCATGGGGATCTCATTAAAGATACATAACATGTAGGTCACTATAGCTGGATCATACTTAGGTGTTTTCATTCTGTACCTTTTTGTTCATGAACAGTGTTAGAAGTAAAATGGTATTCATATACTTCTTATGTACAGTTTGTATAGGAGCTCTGGCTTCTCAGTAACAAGAATAGATTCCCTTGATACTTACTGTAATTTAATTTGTGTGTTCAAAAATAATCTTTCAGATCTTTCAACTGAAGTGATATCAGCAGTCCCAATTATATCAACATCTACTCCATAATATTTATTTTCTGTGGAACTGTTTGATTTATAGAGTTGCCATATAATTTCATTTTCTGCTGCCTAACAGATGGCACTTTGATGCTGAATTAATGCAACAGGTGTAGTGGAAGAAATAATGAAAGAAAAGAATGTTTTATTCGTAGGTAATTTTATCTGTATTTTGGTTATTTTCTGCAGTATCGTCACCAGAGTATTGGTGTGTACCATGTTAATCAGCACCAGTTTTTGAGACACTGGGTTTGAAGTCTATTTGAATTACAGTTTAAACGCGACTTAAAACAGAACACATTCTGAAATCTCATAATAACATGCCTGTACAATAATGAAAATATAACAGTTCCATGCTAAAATTAGTTTCATTGTTATTGTCACAACTCATCAAATTAGTATTAACCAATAGAAGGAAAAAACTGGATGAGTGGCAAAACATACAGATTTGCCAGCATTAAAGTGGTAACTGTTCTAATCATCCAGTCATAGGAGTTACTAATCTGGTCATATGCTTATGGTTTGTGTTCAGGGAGCAGTTATCAGTTGCCTGAGCGTTTATGCTGTGAGAATAGATCACTGCATTGATTAAATAGTTCCTTTAGTTACTAAACAAGTGGCTTGCCTATTAAACATATTGTTGCATGGTTCTGTTTAAATTCCAACATTGTGCAAATGGGAATCTTTCTTGCATACACTATCATGTGTAGTATTATGTCATTCAAAGATTCTTGAGATATTGCCTATCGAAAAGAATGCTTGTGCTCATACAAATGAGTTTGGCTTGGGCTTTGCAAATGGCAGCTGAAGTGTAGTGAGTATGGCTTCAACATCACAGTACTAAATCTTTGCATGCCAAAGAAATGTAGGGTACTGTGGACAATGCAGAATAAATCCCAGACATTGCTGTCAAATGAATAGCACTCCTCATTTAGGAGGTCCTGGATTAAAGTCTTGGCCCAGGAATGAGCTATCCTGGTTAATGATTGTGATTTTCCTCAGCCCCTCTAGGCAGACACTAGGGTAGTATCTCTGGCATTCCCATGTCCTTTCCAAATCATTTGCTTATCAGCCTATCATTTGACCATACAACAGGTTTTTAGAACTATGAAACTAAATCTGATTTTTCCATACTTCAGGCCAACATTTCCCAAGCTTCTGTTACAACTTTAAACCCATTAAAACTCTGAAAGAATAATAATAGCCTGTCATAATATGCTGTTATAAAAAGTAATACCTCCATCTAGAGCAGAGGCTAAGAATGGTAGAGCTACACCCATTTCTTTGTACACAAAATTCAAATCTGAAAACAAGTCAGTACTCAGAGTTAATTCCAGGTGGATTTATGTAATGTTACGATGACTGTAGAATATGTATAAAATTAACTTCAGAATCTGTGTTCTTTTAACAAGTCTGGCATATGGAGAGAATTCTACAAAATTGTTATGCACGTATTATGTATAAAGTGAATATCTTGGTAAATCACATCTATCATATGCTTCAGCTTCTCTAGACTTTTAGAGTTTGATTAGCCCCCCTCACTCTTTAAAGCACTGGGGCGATTACTAATATACCACCTGGTTTCATGTGAAAGGTTCTGTATTTTGTTCAGAGAGTGTATTTATAGATTTCATATGATTATCAGAGTAAAACGTCATTAACTGATTGGTTGTTGTGGTGGAGTAGGAGTGTGTTTTCTGTGAGGTATAAATATTGTGTGAACCTTAAGCTTAAAAGTATTAACTGATTCCTGTGAAAGTATGAATAGGCTCAGCAACTGGTATTATACTTGAAGACTTAAATTAATATTTATATTTATAATTTTTAATGTATGTTAATTGAAAAAACTAAGTGTAAAATTATAGGTTATGTTTGGTTCATAATGTTTTCACTCTGACAGGGATATTATGAGAATCTGAGAAGAAGTAATGCAAGTAGAATATTTAATGCCATTAAGTTTGCGTCTTCTGGTCCTTGTTCTGTTATGTGTGTGTTGCATTATTTTGTTAGACGCTTCTGTTTAGTTCAGCCACTTTCTTAACTTTTCCATCACAAATTTTATGCAGTATTTTCTTAATGAAGATAAAGCAACATTAGTCATAGTCAAACTGTTTTTCTCTCTCATTTATGACTTAATCTTGTGATTGTTAATCTGTGTTATAGTCCCAGTAGCAGCAGCGTTTCACCACCACAACAAGAACGAGCAAGGAAGCGTGATCATGAACCTGATGTTGAAAGGAAGCACAAGGCCCTGAAACCATCACAGCATTCACCTCGAGAGACCAATATGTGAATAATCAGCACAGAGCAACTGGTTGAGGATTACAGTATCACAGGATGTCATCAGATTTTCACAAAATATTGATACCACTTTGCACTTCTTGGTCAAGAATGTTCATTTCTTTCTGAGAGTTCATGATTTCATACTACCAACCTAATAGCACAATTTGCAATGTGAAAGCAGGATGGACCAGAAAATACACTGAAGTGAATGAAATGTTGGTTCAGGTATCATTGTATTGTTTGAGTTAAAAAAGTAATACTCTATATGCTGGGATGAGTTAAATGGAATCATTCTGGTCTTCCTTTGTGAAATCCTCTTCATTATTATAACATGAGGTTTTTGTTTGTTTATATTTAGTTATGCTGAGCTGTTCAGAGATTTCATCACTTCAACTCCACTGAAAGGGTTCACCTTAAACTTACAGATGTTTGTGGGCGTGTTGCTGACATAATTGAATTTCCCAAACTGTTAACTTTACATGACACTTAAATTTGCAGATGAGTTAATATTGATGCCCATTATAAACAATATAGTTTATATATTTAGTAGAGCAGTGTGGAATGTGAATTTTCTTGAAATCAGGCTTATTGGCATTTCATTTCATATAAATATTGTGTTCAGACGCATCTAATCAGGGGTAGTAAATGGCTAGATTCCCTTTTGTGTACAATACATGTGTTATATCCTACTTGTTTTGACTTCCTGGGAAATCATCATTAGAAGCATGATTTTATTTACAGTATTTTATAACTTGTGTCATCCTTGAAAACTACTGACTGAACATTGGACAGGTAATTTTAATTATAAAATATCTTATTAGTAGTTTGTTTAAGGATTACATGTATTTTAGACATAAGTTATAAAACATTCTTGTAAATCAGTTGTGTTCACATGAACCAAATCATGCTCTTGATGACTTTCCAGAAAGTCGAGTCATACAGGATACAACACAAAAATAAACTGTAAACAAAGGAAAACATGGCAGTAGATTTCTCCTAATTAATTGCATTTAATGGTGTTAAAATATATATGAATTTAATTTGACTGCATTGAAATGTGTGTTTCATGACAGGGCATTAAATTTGTAATTTATCAGTACATTTTTAAAAATTGTGTTTATGCTCCATACTGGTTTTATGTATTGAATAAATCACTGTACCAGTAGAGGCAGTGTAAACTAACATAAAGAAGAAGAAGAAGATTTGCTGTAACTTGCAGTGCTGTATTTAGGCTTATGCAGTTCCCAGTTACAAGATAGAAGGGCTAAGCTTGTTTCTTCGTTACATTTTTTAAGTCTGACTTACGTGGAGTTTGTAAATTGAAATATATTAGGATTCAAACATGACGAGTGAATGACCGTTATGCTAAAAGATGTAGATGTATGAGCTTACAATGTGGCAAGACTTTCTGCTCAAGCCTAATTATCATGCATTGAAATGCTTACAGTCTGCACCACATTTTTTGCAGGTTGGCAACACTATATGCATACTTTTTGCTTGAAGTAATTTAAATGCTTAAAATTTAGAATTAATTGTTCTGCTTTTCTGGTATGCTTGGGTCCTTAATCTTCCATTGAACAAACAGTAGAATGTAACTAAAATGAAAGACCCACCCAAAACAGTGTATTTTGGGGAAAATATTAAGGTATGAAAGCTAGAAGATAATGGTGCAGCACATATTTAAAAGCCATAATTTTTCTTGTTATAGGGCAGGGTTTGCAAGTAGCTATCTGTATTCTGAGTGTAATTTATTTTGTCTAATTTTAATGTCACAGTTTGTGACATGGCATGAAAATTGCTAAAGAAATTGAATTTTAAATTTCAGCATTCCATTATCTTTCAAATTATTGAGGCAGATAATGCGCATTAATTATTCCATACCTCTCACTCGTGTGTGTAGGCTGTTCCTAGACTGGAATAATTCATCCCTTCCTCAAACACTGTTAATCTTTATTTCTGGTCATTTTGTTTTTGTTGTTATAATAATGACTTTTTTTTTTAAATGTTGACATGACAGTTTCAAAGAAAGACGCTGTTGAATACTGACTCTGCTTTATCTTTCAGAACACCTATAGCTACCAACTCTCTAATTGACTCACTCATTCACATCTGTCGTTAATGCAACTTAAAACTGTTCATGATTTCTCTTTAATTTAAAATTACATCAATTGCTACATGTTTCAACCTTTGCCATCTTCAGGCAGTTCGGTTTTTGAAACTGTCTCATTGCAGTAGATCTTAAGTCGATATATTTCTGTGCTGTTGCATATTGTTCACACTAAAACGTGCTTGCTTGGGAATAAAGCTCTCCACTCAGATTTATTTTCCTTTTGTGTCATCCATGTTTGTGCCCCTTTCGTATGTATGTTGTCACTAGTTGGAAGTATGGCAGTTGACAAATTCTGGTTCATTGTCAGGGATAGTAAACAGAACATATCTAACTGTTTCACAACCAGTGTAGGCTTGCTGCCTGTGTGGAGTAGTCGGTCAGTGTCATTACTGGCTATTGGCTTGACAACCAGGATTCAGTTCCCAGCAGAAGCAAGGAGTCTTTTCTTTGTTACCATGTCCAGACAAACTCTTTAGGGCCTGCCCTATAGGGTAATGTGCCTAGAGCTTGAAGTTGACCACCTTCCATATGCCTTCATGGAATATCTTTATTAGTTACACCTCTTAATGCATAGGTAAAGGCAGTCTTATATTTCCATATTAAACTTGTTGCACTATAGTGGACCTTACTACTCATTCATGCTTCATGGAATGGTTACTGCTGAAGCACAGGGGCAAATTTACCTGAACTAAATGATCTGTTCATTGACCCATTTGCCAGAGTAAAAGTACAGAGTTCATTGTAATTCTACATAATGTACCCAACACAACACCTAAAGTAATGCATTAGTGTACACTGAATGCAGAGTAGGAGAACCTCTCAACTGCTCGAAAATTGCAGCAAGGAAATAGTTAAAAAGTTTTCCTTCTTCTTTGAAACAGCAAAGTCTTTGATAAATTTAACCTACCCCCTGCCCCAAAGTGACACATTTTGAAACAGAGTTGGATTTTTCAACCATCAATCAAAATACTTGTTCAGTATATTCCAGTGAATATGGTGCAAATAATTGTTGATGTATGGCCTTCTCTCTTTAGTGCCATGTAGTTCAGAGATAGACATTTCAAAAGGAATATATTGCCTCCAACAAGAGGATTGAAGCAAGCCAAGCAAGAAACTAGCAGAAACAGTCTACAAGCTGAGTGGCTTACGCTCCTGCCTGAAAGGTGGAGATGCGTTCCTCTGAAACATGTTTCTGTCTGAGCTACATGGTGTTACAAACCAGAACATGTATACTCTTCAATTATTCATATTGTAATGTGTATGCCCAAACCGTCACTTCCTAGGCGACGATCCATGTTCCCGCTGCAATGCTATGTCATAGTTCTAACTATGAGTCTCCATGGTTGCAACGGATTGTTGAACCAGCAGGAATAATACACTTCCGCGGTAACGAGCATAGGACACATGAAAACTGAACTGTGGGAAATGGTATCTGGTATCCGGTCCACATAATGCCTACATAAGGGGGTGAATGCATCCACACAAGTCAGTTGAAGTCTAGCATTCGCCGAGTGAAGTCAAGAAGCGACTACAGCAGAAGGATTAATTGTGACATAAGTGTAAAAGCGAAGGAGAATAAATATTTACTATATCCTTGACCTACGTGAAGTTATTTGTCTTGCTGTATAGGCAACACACAACAGTATGTTACAGTACTTCAGGGAAGGTGGTGATCTGTTTGGTCAAAGACTTCAGTGTGTGATAACAATATGTACACATGTTTCGGTCTTCAGAGACCAACTTCAGAGGGACACCATTACATCAATACTGTTAGAAGCCACCATTACAGAACATGTTTTAAAAGTTAAAATATATACATGCAATATAAATAATATACAATTGGCTATAAAATCTTTACAATTACAGCAGCTGTTCAAATACAGTAAAATATTTTTAGCTAGTTTGTTAAGATTCTATTGGAATTCGTAAACGAAGCTGGTTCGTGTCGTCCCTCTTATTTCTTTTGACGGTGGCTGAATGTGTGCCACCTTGTCGTTCTCGAGAAGAGGGTTCTGCAAATATATTATGGGTATATTCTGTTATTTCATCAGTCCTGTTATGTTTTGTAAAAACTTGTGCTTTTGTCCTACCTTTAATGTCCTGTATGTGTTTGTGACCCGCTGTGTTGTTTTTACTGTTCTAGGTTGTGTTCTGCATATTTATACTCCTTGTGTCTGTGCAGTAACCATGGAAATGTTTGAGAATGCCAAAAAAGGGAGCATCATGAATATAAAAGAAAATTTCCATATATATCGCTTTAATAAGCTCAACAAATTGATAGAAGAACAGAAATACACGAAGGAAAGTGACAACCAGTATAATATGTTCAACCTCATATTACATCAGTACACGCCCACACTAACGCCACAGACTGTGGTGGCTTCTAACAATAATGTTCTCATTGCATTTTTCCATCCACTGTCTTAAGTATGAGTCCCATGGCTTGTCACATTGTGTACCATATTAAAGTCGTAGCGGTAGTATACATACTGCTTTAAGTGGAGGCAGGACAGTTTGGGTTGTTATTATGAGTTGTGGTCATCTTCTCACGGTTAGTATAACATTATCTTCCTTGTGGAAGACACCATATTTTGGCAAGAAAATAATCATTATTAGTTGCTGATATCCCCATAAATTATAAATGTTAATAAGGAATTTTAATGAAAAAAAATTTCTGAGCGTAAACACTGTTTTGTGAATGTTATGAATAAGTTCTTTATTTGCTAGAGGTCAAGACAAATGATGAAAACATGAGTGAAATTTTATTTTTGGAGGAGTGTAACTTGTTTATGGGAAGGGTTATAATTGTGAAAGTTAAAATAGTTTAAATTAGTACAGTTTCAGGTAAATATGTAGTAAACTATCAGCTGTGAGCAGATTTTTATTTTCCTTGCTTTCTCCTGCTTAAAATTTCTATTTTGAGCGAGATGATAGGTTAGACAAAGGGAAACTACTTCCTGTCTGAAAGATGGCAAATTGTGTAATTCAGTTGACAGTAAAGCTTTTCTGTCTGTAACATTTTAAAATAAGATTGTATTTAGTAATACAAAGTGTCATACTGTATCAGAAGAATTCTAAGAACATACTCTTTCATTTCACGTGGAGCCTAAGGTAAATATTATGCACATAATAATAATAATATATATGTCAGAAAACATATTCATTCATCCTATTATAAGAAATTGTAGAACTTATATCCGGTAGCTTCATGTTCCAAAATGCAGTTTAGAAGATTGTAAAGGAGTAATACTTTTATCTCATTTTAGAAGTATAGCTTACATGAGGTTGAGGTTCTCATAGTGGTGAATGTGAAGAAGATATCAGTCTTCCAGGATGTGATACTGTTGTCTGGTAGAACTGCACCTTTGTACCGTACTACACTGTGTCACATCCCAGAAGGCTAACCTTTGAGTATAGATTAGTTTGCCAGAACCTGAGATATAAGCAGTGTTGAAATTGTAATGATTTTCGTAATGTGTTGTCTTGTAAACTTTATAGATCATGTTACATTTAGTAGTAGAGTAATCAGACAACTTTCCTACATGTATTAAGATTAGCAGGCAACTTTGATATTATTGTGGGAGCTCAATATTGGTGATACATTGTCATTATTATAGTAATAATGAAGATATGGCCAACTAAGATATAAGTGATCTATCTTTATGGTAGGTTCAGAAGTTGGTTTGTACTTTCAGTGCCAGTATATGTTCTTATTTATGTGTAATGCCAAGTGTTGTGTTTTCAGTTGTGAGTGGGGTATGTTATAGTACTTTAAAATAAATCTTATCAAAAACAAGTTAATGTTTCATTAATCCTTTTGCGATTTGAGTACATAAGTTGAGCTTAGTGGTTATCTCTATGTTTTCATTGACTCAGTTGTTAATTCCAAGGGTGGCAGTCTGAATAAAGAGGAGAAGCCCCTGTGTTCTATGTACTTTCCATATGTGAAGGGTGTTTCAGAGAAGTTCTAACATATAGGGAGTCTATATAACATTAGGACAATTTTAAAAATTAAACACATTCTTAGGAGCTCACTAAAGAAAACCAAGCCAGAACGAGATCCACAATAGATGGCACAATGCATCCTTAGTATTCCCTTTGAAAGTGGCAGAAGTTACATTGGCAAAACAGGTAGACCTCTGGCTGTGCAACTGAAAATGGGAACAGACTCAAAGAGGATCTTCTAGAAAAATCAGTCCAACATGCCTATAAAGAGGGTCATAGGGTAGGCTGGATGATTTTGGAAATAGTAACAGCAGGTATGGAAAATACAAAGAATTGGCCTGTATGGCATGCTCAACCAATCTGGTCAGTTAACCCAGTCTTTATGTTTCATCTGGATCCCATTTATCAGCAATGAGATTATACCCCTCCCGGAGATCTGTATGATGTGACAGATTCTTTGTAGGTTTCTATTAGGTTTTAGTCTGGAATGATAATTTACCTATCCAAAATATTCTAAAACTGGTTTTCAGCTTTGCTTTAGAATGTGCTGTTAGAAAGATACAGAAAAACCAGGTGGAACTGAAATCAAAATGGAACACATCAGCTGCTGGTCTGTGTTGATATGAATCTGCTGGGAGATAAGGAGGTTGGTCTAGAAGTGAATGCAGAGAAAACTATATGTTGCTGTCTTCTCACCAGAATGTAAGATAGAATCATGGCATAAGGATAGCTAACAGATCCTCTGAAAATATTCAGTTCAAATACTTAGGAACAGCAGTAAGAAATAAAAATTTGATTCAGGAGGAAATTAAGAGGAGATTGAATTCTGGTAATGCTTGCTACCATTCAATCAAAAACCTTTTGTCTTCTCATCTGCTGTCTAACGTAAAACTGGAATATACAGAACTATAGTTTGGCCTGTGGTTCTGTATGGGTGTGAAACTTGGTCTGTGACACTGAGGGAGGAACATAGACTGAGGGTGTTTGAGAGCAGGGTGCCGAGAAGAGTATTTGGACCGAACAGGGATGAAAGTTTGACAAAAATGCATAATGAGGTTTGTAACTTATACTCTTTGTCATGTATGATCAGAATGAAATAGTCAACGAGGATAAGATGGGCTGGAGATGTAACATGAAAGGGTGCTGATGACTGCATATATGATTTTTGTGCGAAAACTAGTAGGAAAGAGGCCACTAGGAAGACGACGAGGTGGGTGGATAATATTAAAATGGCTCTTAGATACGATGGTGTGGTATGGACTGGCTCAGGATAGGGACCAGTTGAGGGCTTTTGTGAACACGATAATGGACCTGCAGGTGTCATAAAATTTTGGGAAATTCTTGAGTAACAGCAGAACTGGTTGCTTCTAAAAAAGGGCTGAGCTCCATGGAGTTAATTAGGCCACAGAAAGTATATGCAACTGATATTCTATGTGTGAATTGATACTTGTGTGTAGGTTATATATTGTAGCGTATGGACCCGTTGGTGGGGAAAGACCTGGAAACGGACTACGAGTACAGCCTCTACTATGTTGTAGGCGGTTAAACGCCCGTTTCTAAGTAACAGCCGGTACACGTCAACAACACCCGGGCTACTACCGGTAGGCGACTGCTCGGTAAATGGGTTCCGGCGGCAACGGATATGCCTGCATGTATCGGTAGAGTTATCGGTGGACTATAACAATGTAAATGGTGTTCTATATGTGGTTTATAACGGAGGAAAATTGCAGATCATTTCAGTATTCCTGGTACTCATTTCTGTTGGAGGCTGAGTCGACCCCAGTGCCATAGTGCGCATGGAAGGACTAGGTCAATTGAAAAGAAAATCCAATGACTTCGTCGGAGCGTGTGTACGTAATTTCTAATACGTAATATGTTTGTGATTAGTAAGAGAATCGATGTTTACCCACAGAATGATATTGCGTAAGAGAAGTAATATGAAGTTGGTAGTGTTGTGTTATAGTGTTTGTGATCATGGTGTAATTAGGGAATCGAACCGAAAGCAAGAAAATGATACAGAACAGGCGACCAGCTCTTGTTTATGTGTGATGACACGCGAGCAGTGTATGAAACTGTATGAAACAATGTGTAGATGTGTCCAATAGGGAACGATTCTGAACCACTCTAACCCAACTACATTTTATATAGAACTACCCGGCTCTACCGTAGCAACTTTAGGTGAATCTCTGGTGGAGTCCGAGTGAAGTGACAATGCGCGTGGATTTATTGCGAGACTGATACACTGGATACAATTATGAAATTATTTGAATTTATGATTTATTTCGAACACGGGCATGATTAGGAAATTGGCTCTCTGCCAAGACGAGAGTTAGAAAATCATAAATAATCAGCCAATTTTACTGCACACGGGAGCAGTGGGACGTTTATGTACCACTTTCAAAATTAGGGAATCTACAGTTAAAGCCAGACAGAAGGAATTTTCTTGACATGTTAGTTGCTATGTACGTATGTGCCCTAGGTGTGTGTAATTTCATTCGTGTGTTCACGGAACTTTAGGTTAACCAGTTCTAAACAATGTTATATGAAATCCTTTCTCAAGTTTAAAATTTTCAAATAGATTGAAGGGCACTTGCATCTACCACCATATCATTGCCATTACAACCTCACTGAACGGATTTGACCCCAGACTGAGAGATATTACAGTAGCAGCATTGGGTATTTGAAATGGAAGCTGTGGGATGAATGACTGGAACAGGTTTGTAGCTGTTTGTCTGTGGCCACTGTATAATTTAGATTAGGAATGTCACATAAAATTACATATATTGGTAATCTTTTGTAATAGGGCTGTAGAGTACAGACACAGTGGTACAAACATATCATAACTTTCAGGTCACTCCAACAGTGAGAGAAAATTATGCATGACATGAAGGAAGGCGGGAAGCAGAAACCGGTATGAAGAATAGGGAAGCTTTGTGTCCTATTGGTACTAGCCTTGATGAGACCACTTAAAGAGAAAATGATTCAGATGACTGGAAAGGCTCACTTGGATAAATATTGTGAGTATTAATGGTTCACATATTTGGATAGCTACATGTTGCTATTCACTATAGGTACAGATTAGCTGTAATTTATTGAATAGTCACAGTGCTGTGCTAAGAACAGGAAATTAAATTCTTTAACACCCATGTCCTGTCTATAGAACAGAGATAATCAGAACAATATAAGGCATGAAACCAGCAGGCATTTCAGGGAAAAAAGAGGGAATATCTGAAAGACAAAATTAATAAGTTTGCAACAGATAGGAAGAACATGAACGTTAGAGACCTGTACTGGAGAATAAATGACTTTAAAGAGGGGTTACCAGCCTAGAAGTAACTTAGTGAAGGATGAGAATGGTGATCTGCTTGCAGATTCCCACAACATTTTGAATAGGTGGAAGAACTACTTCTCTCAGTTATTAAATGGTCATGAGGCCAGTGATGTTAGGCAGATAGAAATACATACAGCTGAGCCATTAGTACATCATCCTAGTCCTTTTGAGGTTGAAATTGCTGTTGCAAAGTTGAAAAGCTATAAATCACTAGGTAGTGATCAAATTCTGGCAGAACTGATTCAAGCAGGAGGTCTGAGATCATAAACTCATTAATTCTGTTTGAAATAGGGAAGAATTGCCTGGTCAGTGGAAAGAGTCTATTATTGTACCAATTTACAAGGAGGGTGATAAAACTGACAATAGTAATAATCATGGGATATCACTGCTATCAACTTATGATTCACTTAGGATGGAAATATTGCACAATATTCACATAGAGTTTAGGATACCCATGAAAAAAGTTAAGCTGCTTAAAATGTGTTTAAATAAAATGTATAGTAATGTCTGTATAGGTAAACATTTGTGCGATAATTTTCATATTCAAAATGGTCTAAAACAGAGATGCTCTATCGCCACTGCTTTTCAACTTTGCTTTAGAAAATGCCATTAGAAAGGTCCAGGAAAACCAGGTGGGACTGACATTAAATGGGACACATCAGCTGCTGGTCTGTGGTGATGATATGAATCTACTGGGCGATGAGGTTGGTCTAGAAGTAAATGCAGAGAAAACTAAGTACATACATGTTGCCCTCTCATCACCAGAGTCCAGGGCAAAATCATGAAATAATAATAATCAATGAATATACCAGAAATATTGTGTGGAATACCTGTACTTAGGTATAATCTTGTTTTATATTATAACCTTCAGTTTTATATATAAATGACCGTTGTATTTTTACACAAAAGAATTAACTATTTTGTCAGTGTATCTAATTTTACTACAGTTCAATAGTATACGTTTGTTGATGTGTATTCACCTGATGACGGCTGTTAACAGCCAAAACATGTAGTGAGGCATAGCTGGATATTAACCTTGATACTCCTTAGTTGTTGAGTTGTGACGGAAAAATAAAGTTATGTAATACTTATTATCTGAGATAGCTTTGCATTTGTGTGTTGCATTTATATTTGTATTGGAAGCAAGCATTAATTTTATGACTTGTTCTGCATCCTTGGCTTAGGCCTATGAAGATTGTATAGACTGCATATATATATATATAAAACCGCCTCCGTGATCTAGTGGTCAGAGTTCGTGGCTACAGATCCAGAGGTCCAAGTTCGATACCAGACCTTTTCTGACGTAGTGCGCCTGGAATGGGGTCCACTTAGCGTCGTGATGATAACTGATGAGCTATTTCAAGAAAATGGCGGCTATGGTCTAGAAAACCGAAATTAATGACTGGAGATTCATTGCGCTGACCACACAACACCCATCCACAAAAGTTGACACTAACTTTGCTGACAAGTGGCAGTCACTCGGTCAGTATAGTTCGCTTGCAGACTAAAATCATAGAGTTTGTTTGTTTTGTATATATACTGTTCTACCAAACCAATATCATTCCTAATTTTGGTAATTTTCTGTTTCCTTAATGGATATTGTATTACTGTTACATTAATTAAGTGAATGTAAAAAATATGTCGTGTATAAAATCAATAACTTTAACTTGAAATGAATGCTGATATTTTTAAATCCTTATTGATGATTTTTATGACAGGGCTATTTACAGGACTAAGTAAAGGGAAGAGAATTAAGAGGTAAATAATTGTTTTTTCCTTGATTAAACATTCTCCATGTATGAACTGTTAATGAAAAACTAGGTGTCCTTGGAATTAGTACATCTCTGGCTAAAATGTAGTAATTTTGGGTACACTGGAGGATTACATTCCTTATATGTTTTCCACATATTGTGACTGATAATTGCACCAGTGAAGATGAAACCTCGCCTAGCAAATGATAACATTGCCAGCACTCATAGTATTACTGCATGCTGTTGTGAGATGACAACAGCAGCACAGTGAGACACTCTATTTCTAATACTAGTTCATAGTTAACAGCATTAGCACTATTTCATTCCTGTTTTGGTAAGGACGATTTTCTTAAAGCATCTCTATATCCCTTTGATATCTGCAAAGACCATTCATCGTTGCCATGCACCATAAAAGGAATTTTGACTGGTTTATGAACACAGAATATTGAAGAAAGCAGTCTTCTGGGATTTGGCACCGTGTATATGTGGTGTTAACCGACGTTTCGGAGGAACGTATCGCCCCCATCTTCAGGGTAGAAGAAAAAGTATAAGAAATCTGCAAGCGACAACACCGTGAGAAACGGTAAAGCAGACTGCTTCATATTCTTTTCTTTAGACAGTACTGCCCAAGAACAACTCAATGTATGTATGTGAGAGCCGTTAAGAAGAGCTTCCACAATTGGTGAATAAATAATATCAATACAGTAGTGGCTTTCCTAGGATGACATTAAGAAATAACGTCATCTGGAGTTGTTGATGAAAGATGAAGCACCCGTAATATTGATATTCTCTGGGAAAAGATTCATAGGCTTGCAGAAGCTGGTGTGCCTTTACAAAGCAAAATTTTTAAAAGAGGAACGAATTGATCGGTACTGCAGAATGAAGGTAAACAGTGTATTTACACCAGTCACACATATTCAGTGCCATCTACTATGAAAATATAATCTAGAATTGAAATTTGCCATTTTCTGGACTATAGCACCATGTAGTCTGTATGAGCTGACGTTTTGGAGGTGATACGTTACTTTGAAATGTCGGCTCATAAATGGATTACATGGTGCCATATTGCAGAAGACGGCAAATTTCATAACTACCTCTGTGAGAATCTCAAGCTGTTTAGTGATATAATGGTATATGTCACTGGTGATAACCCTGGTTTGTTTTCTAGCACAACTTAAACTGTAATCCTTCTCAATTGCTGGTACCCATTTTTATGTACTGCTTCTGTATTTTACAGCACCTTTAGTCTGCAGAAGTGTAAAGAAAAATTTCAATATTTGAAGGAAGTGAATGTCCTAAAAGTAGTACTTCTACTTTATGAATTTTTAACGGTTTAGATATGTTTAAACCTGTGCAACTTAAATAATAAGTGGTAGGAAGTCTTGAATTTTCTCTTCAGTATCCCATATAAATCTTAACCCTACATGAAGATACACAATATTCATTAACTCAGAAGGTACAGGTTAAAATAAAACTGTAATTGTCAGCTCACTGTGTTTTATTAACAAGTTACACAGCATTGCAGAACTAAATAACATAATCTATGAAAATTATACAGGAAAATAAATATTCAGATTCTACTACATTGTTACAGAAAATCAAACTTAATTCCATGTCTGTAACTTGGAATGTAAAACATTTTTATTGATCCAATTTGTCCCTGATTTAACTAAAACATTGTATTATGCTTAAACTACAAAATTAAACTGAATTTATCTAAATTAAAGTTAAAATGAAAAATTAAGTTGACATGAAAAGGAGTAAGTGCATCAGTGTGTATTTATGTGCAGACAAAAAATTTTATGAGTGTCACTTTACAACCATTTCTCCAGTTATTCACAGTTAAGCTCCTCCATATCAACCATTTTTTCGGTGTAATTATTATTTGCCGCCATAGAATATCGTATCTCCAGGGAAACACATCCTTTCTGTTATATAAACAAAAATTACATGCATTAAATATGAAATTATCATGACTTACAAGCTACTATTAATACAATTCTCATACTGCATATACAGGTGAATATAAAAATGGCGTTTTTTGCACATCTTTCAACAGCCTCAGAAGTTCTAAATCCTAACCATTAAATGTTGATATAAATTATCATCTGACAGCTGCATTTGCAGAGATGTCACAATATAAAAACTTAATGTCAACTAAATCTGTTGTTATTCAACAAAGTAATTACAAGAGCAATGAATGTGAAATGTGCAGATATGTCACAGTGTTATATTTTGCACTTGTATATTGAAGTTTAAGGCAGATACCTGATTTTGTTGCATCAGTAATCATAAGAATTATGTACAATCTTAATGAATGTAAATCACTGGAATATATTGATTATTAAACTATTTAATAACTGTGTAAAAGTTGATATTTCAAATTACAAAAGTCTTGACGAAACATGTTTCACTTTAAAATGAAATGGTACCAGCTTTTTATGGCGTGTAACAGTGAAGCAGCAGACAATTCTCACTTCAGCTAACAATTTGTGATGAGCAGTCAATTTTCAAAAGCACAAAATGGATATCATAAAGACACTAAATATGTGATGATGCAACTGGTTGAACACCTTTATATCCAGTCCATTGGTAAACATTCCCTTTTGTAATGACATTTAGCTCGTATACATCATCATGTTCAGCGCAAAATTTGAGAGAATGGTACCCACTCATGATGACCATAAGTAATCGCCCACACTGAAGCGAATATAGTGCAAATTATATTCCAAATTTCTGGGGTTAAAAATGTACAAGCAAGGTAGAATTTCTGAGTGTGACACTTCATAGGCTGAATTTTTGTACACCTGGAAAGTCCATAGCATGTGACATTATTCATTTGGTGAAATTTCTTAGTACCTTGAATAAAATTACATGCTTCACTTTCAAAAAACTAATTTCAATACTAGGCAGTATCATGTAAGCTACTCATGTACAGCATAAACATATCAGCAATAGTAATCTAACAACTGCAAATTCTTTATTTGATTAAAATATAATTATTGCATTTCTAGAACAAAGCAGTCTTCTGGATGTGGCACCGTTTAGAAGTGGTTTAACCGACGTTTTGGAGGAATGTATCGCCTCCATCTTCAGGGTAGAAGGAAAAATAAGAAATCCACGAGTGAAGAGACCGTGAGAAACGGTACAAACAGACTGGTATTGGAAAGAAACACAGCTATGTGAGAGCATGCGGTAGCGTAGTGGTTAAGGCAGTATGCTAGAAGTTGGAAGGTCACAGGTTCAAATACCGATGAGGTCATTGGATTTTTTCAGTTGACCTAATCCTTCCAGTCACACTATGGCCCTGGGGTTCATTCAACCTCTTTTAACAGAAATGAGTACCAGGAATTAAATAAATAATTTTCCTGGGGAGTAAAGCGCGGAAGGCGCATAAGGCTGACAACCTTACCGCCATCTTTGAGCCAATTGTCTAGATAATGTGGGACCCTCAACGTCTCACAACCCTATGGGACTTCATGGCCTGTTACAGGGATAGCTTTACTTACTTTTTATGTGAGANACCATACATCAGGTCTTGGTGGCGAGGATGGAGGTATTCAGAAGCTGAATGCGGTGTCCCAGATCGATACTGTGTTCAGCTATGGCAGACTTGTCCGGATGTTTGAGACAGATGTGCCGCTGATGCTCCTTCAATCTCATGTCCATGGAGCAGCCTGTCTGCCCAATATAGACCTTGCCGCACTCATGTGGGATACTGTATACACCCGGTGTCCTTAGTCCCAGGCTATCTTTGACTGGCCGGAGGAAACTGGATAATTTGTTTGGAGGCAGGCCCACTGATTTGATGTTGTGCCGGGACAGCACTCTGCTGATACAGTTGAATATAGTCCCGACATAGGGAAGGAAGGCGACTGAGCCCTGTTTATCTTCAGGCCAGCTGATGTTGGGCTGACAGTCAAGAACTCTGTGGATCTGCTGGTTGTTGTATCCGTTCTTCCTGAATGCATCCCTCAGGAGCACCAGCTCCGCATGTAGGCTGTCTTGATCACAAAGAGCTTTAGCCCTGTGCACCAATGTGGAAAGTGCAGCTTGCTTGTTGGAAGGGTGGTGGGGGGGGGGGATGCAGCGTTAAGGTAGAGGTTTGTATGGGTGGATTTGCGGTACACTCTATGGCCTAGAGAACCGTCGGGTCTCCTGTAAATATCTATATCCAGGAAGGGCAGGTGGCCCTCAGTTTCAGTCTCCATTGAGAACTGAATGCAATGGTGGATACTGTTTAGGTGGCTGAGGAAGTCCTTAAGCTTGCTGGACCCGTGTGGCCAGATGACGAAGGTGTCATCCACGTAGCGAAATCAGCAGCGGGGCTTGTGTGGGGCAAAGTCAAGTGCCCTCTCCTTGAAGTCCTCCTCCTACCATGGAGATGGAGGCGATACGTTCCTCCGAAACGTCGGTTAACACCTCATCTACACGGTGCCACATCCCAGAAGAATGCTTTCTTCGTAGTCACCGCCATGAAAACCCCAAATCTTATATTGCATTTCTAGTCTGCATCTTGGATGTTATACATTATTCTTTTCCACAGGTGAATCTTAGACAAGACTAAATGTTAAAATATAGCATTTTCCCAGTGAATATCATAGTTCATACAATTAGTATAACTCTCAAAGGCTGTTTCAAGGAAGTCCACAGGAAACAGAATAAAAAAAAACAAACAAATAATCACGCAAAACTTGCATGGTAATAATTATAAAACTATGGAACACAATACACCAAATATAAAAGAAGCAAAAAGCAAACACAAAATTATGTATTCCCACAAGGTTGTGTTTCCCTGATACGGCACCGGTACCGTGGCTGGGCACCGGTGCAGCTCCACCTAGTTATCGCATGCAACATCATTAATATCCTGGTTTATCCCCAGCAACTGCTCTCGGAAACTATCATCTGCTAGAAGTGTCGCCAGACTGGTCACTATTGCTTCTAATTGCCCCGGTGGTAACCCTAACTGCTGGCCACAGATAGCAATGGCAGTGTCAATCCTGGTATCATTGGAAGACTTCTGCTGCATGTCAAGGTATCTGTTGAAATCCACTTTTAAGCGCTTTGTATTGCAACCTATTTGATAGAAAGCCGTGAAACTAAATGAACCATTATCCATTACCACTCTAGCATTATCAGTTATCTTGAAATAGATTCCTGCGACCAGATGTCCTTTGGTGTCCCTCGAAAGCAAACTTCTGAAGTTGTATACAAGATTTCGACGTTCAGTTACAGTTACTGGACACAAAAAGGGACACCCCACGTACACAGCAGCTATGGAAATGGATTCTAGTCCACTGCGAGTTTCACGGTCTCGCCATATTATGTAATTACCGTCTGCAGTTAGTGTGTACTGATATTCTTTGCGGCAGTGAGGTTCATCTGACTGCGTAAACCAACCTGTGAACAATTGAACATTTGATGGTAAACACTAATATTTAAATATACAAAAATAGCCCATTATTTCTGGATTTATACCATTTCAGAATAATAATAATGGATGATTTAACCCATGCTGAAACCTGGTACTTTTCTATTCAACGGTACACACACTGGCAAACATTTCTACAAAAAGTGTGTTGATGTAATGAGAGTATAGGGAAACTTGACAGGATTCAGTGTATCACTTTGAAAAGTACAAGCACCTCATACCAAAACCGCACAACCTGCCTCTCCTTACCACCTTCGTATTCTCCTGTAAGTCTTGTTTACTCTTATCTATCTTGTTGTTGAATTTCTTTATTATTTTAAAAATGTGTATTTAAGTAAATATGTAAGAACACTTATGCGCCATTTCTATACAGAATGCATAGAAGATACTGGTGGGAAAGCCAGAAGGAAAGAGACCACTGGAAAGACCAAGACATAGGTGGGTGCACAATATTAAAATGGATCTTACAGTGATGGGATGGGATGGTATGGATTTGATTGATCTGGCTGAGGATAGGGACCAGTGGAGGGCTCTTGTGCAACATGATAATGAACCTTCAGGTTCCATAAAATTCTGGGAAGTTCTTGCATAGCTGCACAACTGGCAGCTTCTCAAGGAGGGCTCAGCTCCGTGAGTGAGTGATCCCGCTTTTCATAAGATAGTAAAACTGGTGCCTTTACCAATTATCAATAGAACCTCCGTCGAGTGTTAACAATATATATTCTTGTCACCATTTTCTCACATTTGCCTTACATGTTTCGGCTCACAAAGAGCCATCATCAGAGGCAACCACAACAAAAACATGGAAACACTTGCACTGCTCAACAATCACAATATACAGTTTTTTGTGGAAGATGTTACACGTATCGGAGCGTAAAACACAACAACATCCAGTACCCCGAGTGCGGGTATCCCATTTGCATTTAAAATATCACCCACAAAGCGGGTCGTTAATGTTAAAATTAAAGTTAAAACCGTCCAAGTAAAATATTCAGGTTCCTCTTAGTGGATAGTCCCAATGGGGGAGGCGTCAGCACGAGGTTGTGTGGGCT